CTGTCTGTCTCAACTACTGGATCACTACGACAAGGTCCTAAATGCACTAGAAGACAAAAAGAATGCAGATGTAATATATACAGACTTTGCAAAAGCCTTCTACAAGTGTGACCATGGCGTAATAGCGCACAAAATGCGCGCTAAAGGAATAACAGGAAAAGTCGGTCGATGGATCTATAATTCCTCACTAACAGAACACAGAGATAGTCGTCAACAGAGTAAAGTCCGAGGCAGCTACGGTGAAAAGCTCTGTTCCACAAGGCACAGTACTAGCTCCCATCTTGTTCCTTTCGTCCTCATATCCGACATAGACAGGGATGTCAGCCACAGCACCGTGTCTTCCTTTGCGGATGACACCCGAATCTGCATGACAGTGTCTTCCATTGCAGACACTGCAAGGCTCCAGGCGGACATAAACCAAATCTTTCAGTGGGCTGCAGAAAAAACAATATGAAGTTCAACGATGAGAAATTTCAATTACTCAGATATGGTAAACATGAGGAAATTAAATCTTCATCAGAGTAAAAAACAAATTCTGGCACAAAATAGAGCGAAACACCAACGTCAAAGACCTGGGAGTGATTATGTCGGAGGATCTCACCTTCAAGGACCATAACATTGTATCATCGCATCTGCTAGAAAATGACAGGATGGATAATGAGAACCTTCAAAACTAGGGAGGCCAAGCCCATGATGACACTCTTCAGGTCACTTGTTCTATCTAGGCTGGAATATTGCTGCACTCTAACAGCACCTTTCAAGGCAGGTGAAATTGCCGACCTAGAAAATGTACAGAGAACTTTCACGGCGCGCATAACGGAGATAAAACACCTCAATTACTGGGAGCGCTTGAGGTTTCTAAACCTGTATTCCTGGAACGCAGGAGGGAGAGATACATGATTATATACACCTGGAAAATCTAGAGGGACTAGTACCGAACTTGCACACGAAAATCACTCACTACGAAAGCAAAAGACTTGGCAGACGATGCACCATCCCCCCAATGAAAAGCAGGGGTGTCACTAGCACGTTAAGAGACCATACAATAAGTGTCAGGGCCCGAGACTGTTCAACTGCCTCCCAGCACACATAAGGGGGATTACCAACAGACCCCTGGCAGTCTTCAAGCTGGCACTGGACAAGCACCTAAAGTCAGTTCCTGATCAGCCGGGCTGTGGCTCGTACGTTGGTTTGCGTGCAGCCAGCAGCAACAGCCTGGTTGATCAGGCGCTGATCCACCAGGAGGCCTGGTCACAGACCGGGCCGCGGGGGCGTTGACCCCCGAAACTCTCTCCAGGTAAACTCCAGGTAAACTCCAGGAACATTAGCGTCAGCCTGTCTTTCATAGGCTTGTGTCCTGGCATTGCCTTTTCCTCTTGTGTAATGAGGTCCTCTTCGGCATTTTCTTCCAAAAGAGGCCTGTTTCGTCACAACTGAACACTTGTTCAGGTTTCAGTCCTTCAGCCTCCATGTACTCCTGTAATTCATGCACATATTTTTCAGCCGCCTTGTGGTCCGAACTGGCAGCCTCACCATGCCTTACCACACTGTGTATGCCAGTACGGTTCTTAAATCTCTCAAACCAGCCTTTGCTGGCCTTAAATTCACTCACTTCACCACTATTTGAGGGCAATTTCTTTACCAAATCTTCATGCAACTGCCTAGCCTTTTCACAAATAAACGAATTCATAAGAGTATCTCCTGCTAATTGTTTCTCATTTATCCACACCAATAATAACTTCTCAACCTCTTCCATTACTGGTGATCTCATTTTTGTCAGCATAGTTACTCCCTTTGCAACAACAGCATCCTTTATTTCATTTTTCTTGACCACTATGGAGCATAAGGTTGTGTAGGGTTTCTTATACATCCTGGACAGTTCGGCCACACTTGTACCACTTTCATATTGTTCAGTGATGGTTTTCTTAAATTCAATCGTATTTCTCACCTTCTTTACCACAGGCTTGGCACTAGGAGCTTTCTTTGGAGCCATGGTAGCTTATTTAGTACTTGCAAGCACTAAAATAAATGGAATATTATGAAATATTTCGCTGGAGCACGTGAGGGGACCTTTGCTCACTGGTAAACAATGCCAGACTGGCTGCCGCCCTGGCTCACGCCGTGGGTACGCGTCCCGGACGAACTACGACTCGCGAGTCAACCTATGAAAAGCGAGTCCATGTTTATACGAAAATACCTCTATGATTGGCGAATTTTACGATTGCCGGGAACTACGAAAAGCGGGGGACCACTGTACTTGGAAAATCCTAGAGGAATTAGAACCAAACATGCACACGAAGATCACTCCCTACGACAGCAAAAGACTTGGCAGAAGATGCAACATTCGCCCAACGAAAAGCACAGGCGCCACGAGTTTACCTGGAGTTTACCTGGAGAGAGTTTCGGGGGTCAACGCCCCCGCGGCCCGGTCTGTGACCAGGCCTCCTGGTGGATCAGCGCCTGATCAACCAGGCTGTTGCTGCTGGCTGCACGCAAACCAACGTACGAGCCACAGCCCGGCTGATCAGGAACTGACTTTAGGTGCTTGTCCAGTGCCAGCTTGAAGACTGCCAGGGGTCTGTTGGTAATCCCCCTTATGTGTGCTGGGAGGCAGTTGAACAGTCTCGGGCCCCTGACACTTATTGTATGGTCTCTTAACGTGCTAGTGACACCCCTGCTTTTCATTGGGGGGATGGTGCATCGTCTGCCAAGTCTTTTGCTTTCGTAGTGAGTGATTTTCGTGTGCAAGTTCGGTACTAGTCCCTCTAGGATTTTCCAGGTGTATATAATCATGTATCTCTCCCTCCTGCACAGTATATAATCATGTATCTCTCCCTCCTGCACAGTAAGTGTCAGAGGCTTAAAACTGTTCAACTGTCGCCTAGCATGCATAAGGGGGATTACCAATAGACCCTTGGCTGTCTTCAAGAAGGCACTTGACAAGCACTTAAGGACCCCAATGGAAATAAGTCACTCTGACTGTATTTGCGTTAGCCTGAATAAACTTACCTAAAGTCCGTACCTGACCAGCCGGGTTGTAGTTCGTACGTCGGTTTACGTGCGGCCAACAATAACAGCTTGGTTGAACAGACCCTGATCAACCACGAGGCCTGGTCTCAGACCGGGCTGCGGGGGCGTTGACCCCCGAAACCCTCTAGGTAAACTCCAGGTAAACCACTACTCCCCTGCTTACTATTACTTCTACTACTATTATCACTACCATTATTACCTCTTCCTTATTTCTTCCTCTGTCTGTCCCGTCTCTGTCCCCCTCTTCCATATATACTGACTTTCTCAACTTTGTTAATGAATGGTTATAACTATGACCATAATTTTTAGAGGGGTTGGACTGGTAAGCCAGTGGAAGGCTTCGTTCAGATGACCGAAAGCTCTAACGACGGGTCATGTGACTAAGATCCCAGTTTATTATAAATTTATTATAAATTTGTGCACACATACAGAGGTACAAAAAAATACAGATAAGAGCAGTATGCCAAAGCCACTTATACTATGCATAGCATTACGGGCTGGCTTAAAATTAACTTAAGATTAACTAAGCAATGATGAAGTCAGTGATAAAACATTAATGTAAACAGATTACTATAAAGCACAAGTGAGTATTACAAAGACAGGTCATATGAAGGATTCTGTTAGGTAGTGTATTTAAAAAATAATAAAGTTAGATTGGGTTTTTAGGTTTAACATTTATGTGATATAATTGTGAGAAACATTTAAGATATACAATTTATAAGGTTCAGTTATTCAGTATTTATTTGGTTTTGGGTGAGTAAGTGATCTTTGAGTAGAGACTTGAATTTATAAACAGGTAGTGTTTCTTTTATATTTACAGGTAATGAATTCCAGATTTTAGGGCCTTTTATGTGCATTGAGTTTTTGCATAGTGTGAGATGAACACGAGGAACATCAAAGAGTGATCTGTGCCTTGTGTTATGGTCATGTGTTCTGTTGAGGTTGGCAAGGAGATGTTTGAGGGGAGGGTTAATATCAGAGTTAAGTGTTCTATGTATGTAATAGGTGCAGTAATAAGTATGGATGTTTTGTATGGTGAGTAGGTTTAGTGTATTGAATATTGGTGGAGTGTGCTGCCTGTAGTGAGAATTTGTTATCATTCTAACTTGTCCTGTTTCCTGACAAACCTTACCTAACCTAACTTTGTGTGTTAGTGTGACTTGCCATTGGTTCAAGTCGGACAGAAACGTCGTCGTAAGTTTCTCTTATGTGCGGGATATCTATGTATTGTTCCAGTCACGATATTGTGCCTTTTTGTTCTTCGACTGTCCAGTATTATGCTCTGTACTAGACTGATAAAGCCACTGGCTGAGGAAGCGTCTCTACAAGAAAGATGCCCACGTTTTGCACATGTAACATTAATCTACTTAACCTTACTCCGCCATCGGTACTTGGGTGTCTTTGGTTACAGTCAGCCATACGCGTCACACAACCCAATATTAAGAGTTAACTGGCTCAGATATGATGCGCAACTGAAAGAAATGTACTGTTTTCACTAATATCTCGCAAAATAACATTGCAGACATAAAATACTTATTTTGTAGTGTACATAGGTTGAATGTATAATATAATGCAAATTCATAACTAACTTTTGCCGAGTTTTTTCCGCCGCTCCTGATGAACCAAACGTCTCATAAGTAAAAGTTACCCAAATGTTGCACATGTCTCTATATTAATTAAACAAGATATATGACTGGTGCCATAGTGCCCGGCCCGTGTCCAGTGCCTTTTGTGGAGTGCCACTTAATGCGCTGTATGAAGACAATTTTAAAAGTGCCTTATCCAAGGTAGAAACCAGCTATAGTTCATCTTATTTCAAACCAAAATCATACGACATTAATTACTTGTCGACTTATTTTAAAATTAAATATTCCCTCTCTTTTATCTGATATATAAGTGAAGCATAAAAATGACCAAATTTTGATTTCGTATTATGAGATTATTTTCGGCAGAAGATGGGCAAGGTTAGTGCAGGAGTTGCCATTGTAAACAAGGATTGATTGTGGTGGCTGAGGTGGGCTCTTTTGTTGGGAATTATTTGCCAAATTTGTGATTTCTGCCATGTTATGTGTCTGTTGAGGCAGTTGATATAGACCGAGTAAGTCTTGTGTATTAATGGAAATGATTTTTGATGTTTCTTGACATCACTGTTCATGTTTATTGCTACAACTGTATCACACGGTACAGATACGTCAATTAACACGAGAGAAGACTAATTTTAAAAATAGATATGTATAAAGAATAATTGAAATCAAGGTTTGAAGGACCCATAAAAACCATTGTATTAACGTGCTTTTTGATGATTTAAATATAAGTTCTCCATTTTACAAGATGTGCAGCTTTCTCTTTTACAGTATTTTTCATTGGAGTGACTCCTGGAAATAGTTCAAACTTTCGTAATATTACAATTCCTTATTTCAGAATTACTTTACATGCAAAGCATACAATAATCTGAAGGCCCATAGGATGCATACCATTTCAGGCATTAACTTAACCAAGATTTGATATTTATTTAACATTTCATGATATTTCAAAATTTAGATAAATTAATGTAGATAGGCATACAAAGAACACCTAATGCGAAGTGTTACGGCCATGTTTCTCACTCTAGCACTTTTATCAAGCTAATGCAGACAAACAAGGACACAGAGGTTATATAAAGGGAATATGATGATGTGCAGAAAGAAGGGTTAAGGCAAGAATAACAGTAATTATTGTAATAGTTGAAGTGATTTCTTCTTTGTCATTTTAGAGAGCATTCATATTTATTTTTCAGAGATGGTAGACTTGCATGTGTTCTGTGTGTGTAATTGTTGGAAATGGAGGTGAATGATGCTTCAAGGGATTTTTGTCTGTAAGTCCTTAATCACTTACACGGGTGTCATTCCATTTCACCAAGTAGCAGGTGGTGTGGTGGTGTATACATACATTGTTCAGGTTGTTACATCTGTATACATGAATGTGCTTGTTTGGATGTATCTTTCAGTTTCATGCTGTTTTTCCATTGTATGCCTTGTCACACCCTCCAAAAGGAATTATGTAAGTCCCTTCAATGACTGATTCTAGGTTTTCCACCTTGGTCATGGTGAGATCTTTGATAGATGTACTGAGTGCCATGGCAATTAGTGTTACCTTGTGTGAATGCTTTGAAAATGTTTAGGGCAACTTTGTGTCAGTGCATGGAGGATTGATGTGAAGGGCTCATTTCTTGCAGTCTTTGACAAAGGAAGGAAGGAAGGAAGGAAGGTGTAGCTCAGTGAAGGTTTCATAGTTTTATATGTTTATTTTATATTTAAGAAGGTCAGTGGCTTGTGTGGTGGGTACATTTGAAAAAAGGAAAGTAACATCAAGAATACTTAGTTTCTTATTCTAGAAAGGGAAGTCTCTAATGTAGTTAAGGAGGGTGTCCCATGGCCTGGTAGCAGTGGTCTTAGTTCACAAGCTGAGTGTCTGTGGTTTGATCCCCAGCAAGGGTGGAAACATTGGGTGTGTTTCCTTATACCTGCTGTCCCATTCACCTAGCAAACAAGTAGGTACCTGGGTGTTAGTTGACTGCTGAGGGTTGCATCCTGGGGACAAGATTTAAGGACCCCAATGGAAATAAGACAGTCCTCGATGATGCACTGACACTTGGGTTATCCTGGGTGGCTAACCCTCTGGGGTTAAAAATCTGAACAAAATCGTATCTTAATCTTAACCTGAATACTAGAGATGGATGATGGTTCCCAGTAGGCAGGAAAGTTTGGTGAGGCTTCTGGTTAAATTATATGGTGTATTGCCTATACCTGATGTGATTGGTCATAGGAGTATGTTTTGTTCATGGGTCTTGGGCAGTCTGTACATGTGTGAAGATTTAGGGTTACTAGGAATTAATATACAGTAGTAACTCTATATGGAAACCTAAATAGAAGTTTTTTTTAGGCATAAGGCAGGCATGCTAACCACTACCCCATCCAGCATATTACTTACATCAATGATTTCTTTCATGACAATAATAAAACACTCAAATAACAGTACTGTAGTGTAAATTTGTTTTAGGTAAATTAACCAAGTAAAATGCATTGACTGAATCTACAAATGCAGATGTTGAGAGGATTATCATATTATATTTAAATAAATTGTCCCATGATTTTGTAAACTTGAATTAAAAATAATTATTTTGTTTCACAGATAGCCCCCAAAGATGAGTTATAACAGAGGCCGAGGGTTTGGTTTTGGAGGCTTTTCATTTGCCAGAAAACAAGAGGCAATTCCACCGCCACCCAATGCCACCCTTAGCAAGCATGGCTATCACACAATGACAGCCATTAGCCAAAATGCAATTTCTGGAGGATGCGGCTATGGCCAACCCCGCAAGAGACCAAGGGATGAGGATGAGTATGTCTTATTCTGGATTTTGCTCTATACTAAGCTACCCTGATATGTTTTCTTCGACAATACATTCTGGATTGAAAGTGGGAAGTAAAAGAAATTATATACAGTAATTTAATATTTATGACATAATAAGTAACTCATTGGAGCAACAAAATTTTGAGTGTGCAGGACTGTATAGAGTGTTGTATATGTATACAGTACAGTATAGGTATTTGATACCATTTGTTTCTTTTGCTAACTTTTTTCAGAATTTATAATTTAATAAATTGAAAATATATTATGTGGTACAAAAATATTGTTTTCTGCTTATGTGGACTCCTGGTGACTGCTTTATAAATTTACATTGTTTTTATATTTGGGTTTAATATTTATTTGCTGAAAATAAAAATATCGTGTAACATTACTGCAAGTATTTTAAAGGATTTTCACTTCTCTCCCTGTGCTCAGGCATTCACAATGGTGTACTGTACCTCAGTTATGCTCAGAGCTCAGGATTTCTTTACTTCCCATTTTGTATTTACATTTAACATTGCTTTACTATTGCTTTAGTGGGTAAGTCTTGCAACCTGGATCTACTATATCAACAAATAACACCTTTAATTTTTTAACACTAAAGCCATCTCCCACTGAGGTAGGGCAACCCGACAAAGAAGACAACACTTTCATTGTCACTCATTCAATCACTGTCTTGCCAAAAGAAAGCCAACATCACAGCTCAGATGACCCTCCAAATTGCAACATCCCACCCCTCATTTAGAGTGCAGGCACTGTGCTGACCACCTCAAGTGTGTCTAACTGCTTCCTTGTATCTCTTCACAAATGTTACCATGATCACACTCCAACAGCACATCAAATGATGCCTGTCTAACACACACTAATTAAAACTATAGTAACATCTTTTTGACAGATCTTGCTTTTATTTTTGGGTCCATTCTTAAGTAAGATTTTTTTCTGTCAGAGGACTGATAGGCTATCAACACTGTGGTCTTTCTAATATTTTTTGGGGGTTGAGACATACATGGATGCTTCTTTGAATTAAGCATGTGAATTTGTAGTTTATATTTGTATTCCTACCTCGGTATTATTTGGATTTGCACCTATTTTCAATTTTGTACTAGGTCACAAAATTTTCTTCTTTGTTGTAAAGTGTGATGATGAACCTTATTGTTTTCTTTAATGACAAATTTGAGATATGATATCAAGATTTTTCCCATTTATATTGTACTACTGAGTGATGGTATTGGCTTTATTAAACACTCGGTAATCTTGCAGCTTAAATATTTGATTGGTTATGTAAATATTTTAGAGAAGACCAGCATATTGAATTTTTCAAGTATTAGACTAATATTAACTTTTGTTTTTCTTTTTGGGCCACCCTGCCTCGGTGGGATATGGCCAGTTTGTTGAAAGAAGAAAGAAAAAGAAGACTAATATTGATTTCATTGATGAAAGTGAAATTACAATTGCTTTTTTTTTTTTATCGAAGCAGAACTTTTAACTGTCACCTGTCCAGTATTGCTGTTTGAGAGCTATTTTATTTGATAGACAGCACTTTCGTTGCTCACCATAATGGCTCATGAATTCCTCAGAAATTAAATATTTAAGTCTCCAAAGGACTAGTTGTGAGGCTTTTTATGTTTATTCTTTATCTAAAAAATGTTTTCGTGATTTTGCAAGTCATAAATGTTTCTTATATATATTTTTTAACACATCGGCCGTTTCCCACCAAGGCAGGGTGGCCCGAAAAAAGAAAAACTTTCATCATCATTCACTCCATCACTGTCTTGCCAGAGGCATGCCTACACTACAGTTATAAAACTGCAACATTAATACCCCTCCTTCAGAGTGCAGCACTGTACTTTCCATCTCCAGGAATCAAGTCCACCCTGCCAGTTTCCCTGAATCCCTTCATAAATGTTATCTTGCTTACACTCCAACAGCATGTCAAATCATAAAAACCATTTATCTCCATTCGCTCCTGTCTAACATGCTCACATACTCTTGCTGGAAGTCCAAGCCCCTCGCACACAAAACCACCTTTACCCCCTCCCTCCAACCTTTCCTAGGCCAATCCCTACCATGCCCTCCCTCCACTACAGATTTGTATACTCTCGAAGTCATTCTATTTTGTTCCACCCTCTCTGCATGTCCAAACCATCTCAATAACCCCTCCTCAGCCCTCTGGATAATAGTTTTGGTAATCCCACACCTCCTCCTAATCTCCAAACTACAGATTCTCTGCATTATATTCACACCACACATTGCAATTAGACATGACATCTCCACTGCCTCCAGGCTTCTCCTTGTTGCAACATTCACAACCCATGCCTCACACCCATACAAGAACGTTGGTATAACTATACTTTCATCCATTCGCCTCCTTGCTTTCATGGATAAAGTTCTTTGTCTCCACAGACTCCTCAGTGCACCACTCACCTTTTTCCCCTTGTCAGTTCTATGATTCACCTCATCCTTCATAGACCCAACTGCTGACACATCCACTCCCAAATATCTGAACACATTCACCTCCTCCATACACTCTCCCTCCAGTGTGATATCCAATCTTCCGTTACCTAATTTTTTGTTATTCTCATCACCTTACTCTTTCCTACATTCAACTTTAACTTCCTTCTTTTACATACCCTGCCAAACTCGTCAACCAACCTCTGCAACTTCTCTTCAGAATCTCCCAAAAGCACAGTGTCATCAACAAAGAGAACTGAGACAACTCCCACTTTGTGTTAGATTCTTTATCTTTATATATTTTATCTTTATCTTTATATACTTTATTTTATTTTGTATTTTAGCCATTCATCAGTTATTTTAATTATTTATTTACAGTATATTGATTTATTATTTTGTCTTCGTATGTACTGTTTTATTTTCATATTGTATATATTAGCTACCATTAAAAGTAGGAGCTACTTATGAGAGAAATTTTGAAATTGTGTGATTTAGCAGCATATAGTATTATGCTATATCCTAAATTTTACAGGTATTTTGACGATGAGGATGAAAGCTTTGAGGGTGCATATCAGCCTGCCCCTGGCAGCCCAGGACCTCAGAGAAAGGATTCCTCAGATTCTGATGAAGATCCACTGGATGCCTTCATGGCTGGAATTGAACAGGAGGTGAAACCTTTTTGCTTTTCTCAAGTTGTGAGCTATGTATTGGAGCAGCAGCAGCCCGAAAAATTTTCAGTGTTTTGTGACTTGATTAACGTGTACAAAAAATCTGTGTTCTTGCATATAGATAATGGATGGGTAGAGCATATATGCTTAGCTTCAGTCAGCACTTTTTTAAAGTGACATATAAAGCATGCTGTACCAAGTTTACTTTTACCCTTTTCGTTGCCCAGACCCCTGATCTGAAACTTGTCCATGGGGTCCAAAATTTTCAAAAAATATGTGTTATTTTTTTTTCTTATGAAATGGTAGATAGTCTTTTTCTGAAGATAATAAAACAGAAAGTATGAAATTTTATAGAAAACTGATGAAATTACGCTTTTGTGAATTTTGCCATGTTGGCAATATTTACGCATCAGTGATTTTTGCCCACTTTGAGCCCTATTTTAGGCCAATTATATTGCTCCAGTTGACAAAATTCTTAGCTATTTCACTAGTATGTCTTCCATTTTATTGACTGATCACAAGAAATTGCCCAGTCAACTATTTCAACTACCCAGTAAAATGATCAGAAATTGGGAATTTGGTCAACTTCACACAAATTTCAGAATATTCCAGTTTCAAAATAGGGTCCAGAATAAACAAAACAGGCATTCCAGGCACTAAAATAACATTTCCTCTGTTCATTAGTTATGTTCCCAGATTTTACTTATGAAAAATTTTACGTATGAAAAATTTTATTCACACAATAAAAATAGAAGATTTACTATTATGCAATATTGTAATAATTGTATAAATAATATCAGTGAGTTCGTGAATACACATTAGGCCCACCAGTTGGATGCGTATTAGACGAGCGACGTGATTTGTTACCTCTTGAATATTGGCAAAAATCGAACATTTCCGCTACTTTGAGCTCAGTTTCAAGCTATTTTCAGTTCTGAAACCAGTCAAAGTCATCTCTATTTATGTAATGTATCTTCCATTCTATCATATGAAACCAAGTAACTGAGAATAGAACCATAAAAATCATACAAAATAGCTGTTTTAAACCAAGAACACAGTCACAGTTTTTTCTCATTATGCACTGTGTGCTGCAGGATATTTTTATGTGGTGCACACTTACCGCATACGCCCATTCTCTCAAATCTAGGCCCAAACTTACCGTTCACAGCTTATCTGAGTGAACTGAACTCATGGTGTAGTATTATGGCATGACCAGTGAACTGAGAGCCTCAGTACTACAGTACGGCCAGTGAAATGGTTAAAACAAAATATGTTTGAGAGTTTTACATATGTTATCAGTTTTATGTTATGCAAAATAGCAAAGATGACTACTGAATGATGAAGTAAAGGGTGTGATAAAAGAGAAAAAGTTAGCTTGTGAGAGGTTTTTACAAAGCAGAAGTGTTATAAGAAGAGTAGAGTATATAGAGAGTAAAAGAAAGGTGAAGAGAGCGGTGAGAGAGTGCAAAAGGAGAGCAGATGATAGAGTGGGAGAGGCACTGTCAAGAAATTTTAATGAAAATAAGAAAAAATTTTGGAGTGAGTTAAACAAGTTAAGAAAGCCTAGGGAACGAATGGATTTGTCAGTTAAAAACAGAGTAGGGGAGTTAGTAGATGGGGAGATGGAGGTATTGGGTAGATGGCGAGAATATTTTGAGAAACTTTTAAATGTCGACGAAGAAAGGGAGGCAGTAATTTCATGCACTGGCCAGGGAGGTATACCATCTTTTAGGAGTGAAGAAGAACAGGATGTGAGTATGGGGGAGGTGCATGAGGCATTACGTAGAATGAAAGGGGGTAAAGCAGCTGGAACTGACGGAATCATGACAGGAATGTTAAAAGCAGGGGATGATATAGTGTTGGAGTGGTTGGTATTTTTGTTTAATAAATGTATGAAAGAGGGGAGAGTACCTAGGGATTGGCAGAGAGCATGTATAGTCCCTTTATATAAAGGGAAAGGGGGCAAAAGTGATTGTAAAAATTATAGAGGAATAAGTTTACTGAGTATACCAGGAAAAGTGTACGGTAGGGTTATTATTGAAAGAATTAGAGGTAAGACAGAATGTAGGATTGCAGATGAGTAAGGAGGTTTTAGAGTGGGTAGGGGATGTGTAGATCAAGTGTTTACATTGAAGCGTATGTGTGAACAGTATTAAGATAATGGTAGGGAAGTTTTTATTGCATTTATGGATTTAGAAAAAGCATATGATAGAGTGGATAGGGGAGCAATGTGGCAGATGTTGCAAGCATATGGAATAGTTGGCAAGTTACTAAATGCTGTAAAGAGTTTTTATGAGGATAGTGAGGCTCAGGTTAGGGTGTGTAGAAGAGATGGAGACTACTTCCCAGTAAAAGTAGGTCTTAGACAGGGATGTGTAATGTCACCATGGCTGTTTAATATATTTATAGATGGGGTTGTAAAAGAAGTAAAATGCTAGGGTGTTCAGGAGAGGGGTGGGATTAAATTATGGGGAATCAAATACAAAATGGGAATTGACACAGTTACTTTTTGCTGATGATACTGTGCTTATGGGAGATTCTAAAGAAAAATTGCAAAGGTTAGTGGACGAGTTTGGGAGTGTGTGTGTGAAGGTAGAAAGTTGAAAGTGAACATAGAAAAGAGTAAGGTGATGAGGGTGTCAAATGATTTAGATAAAGAAAAATTGGATATCAAATTGGGGAGGAGGAGTATGGAAGAAGTGAATGTTTTCAGATATTTGGGAGTTGACGTGTCAGCGGATGGATTTATGAAAGATGAGGTTAATCATAGAATTGATGAGGGAAAACAGGCGAGTGGTGCGTTGAGGTATATGTGGAGACAAAAAAACGTTATCTATGGAGGCAAGGAAGGGAATGTATGAAAGTATAGTAGTACCTAACACTCTTATATTGGAGGTTGGAGGCAGTGGAGATGTCCTGTCTAAGGGCAGTGTGTGGTGTAAATATTATGCAGAAAATTCTGAATGTGGAAATTAGGAGAAGGTGTGGAGTTAATTAAAGTATTAGTCAGAGGGCTGAAGAGGGGTTGTTGAGGTGGTTTGGTCATTTAGAGAGAATGGATCAAAGTAGAATGACATGGAGAGCGTGTAGGGGAAGGAAGGCAGGGCAGGGGTCGTCCTCAAAAAGGTTGGAAGGAAGGGGTAAAGGAGGTTTTGTGGGCGAGGGGTTTGAACTTCCAGCAAGCATGCGTGAGCGTGTTTGATAGGAGTGAATGGAGACGAATGGTATTTGGAACCTGACGAGCTGTTGGAGTGTGAGCAGGGTAATGTTTTGTGAAGGGATTCGGGGAAACCGGTTATTTTTATATAGCCAGACTTGTGTCCTGGAAATGGGAAGTACAATGCCTGCACTCTAAAGGAGGGGTTCGGGATATTGGCAGTTTGGAGGGATATGTTGTGTATCTTTATACGTATATGCTTCTAAGCTGTTGTATTCTGGGCACCTCTGCAAAAACAGTGATTATGTGTGAGTGAGGTGAAAGTGTTGAATGATGATGAAAGCATTTTCTTTTTGGGGATTTTCTTTCTTTTTGGGTCACCCTGCCTCGGTGGGAGATGGCCAACTTGTTGAAAAAAAAAAAAATAAAAACTACTGAATATAAATTATTGATGAAAAGTCATGTATATTTAGGGAAACTATTTTTTTGTTTTTAATATTGGATAAATAATGATAGATAATTTGAAATTTGTACAGGTTAAAAGAACTAAAGGCAAAGGCGCAGGAGACAAAAAAGAAATAAAAGGGGTCCGAGATGACATAGATGAAGAGGATGATGAAGAATCGTACTACAGATACATACAGGAGAACCCCAATGCTGGAAGGTAAGATGTAATAAATTTTGCATAATTGGTGGGAAAACATGCAAATTTTTTTTCTTTTCACCTTTAAGTATAATTTTGTTAAAAGGAATAGTAGTATGCTATTAATAATAGTGGTGAATTATTAACCTCTTTTCATTCATATTGTTGTGACTTGATGCAGATTCTTTGCAAAACACTGAAGATACTTTCATTCTAGTTTTATTTACATCCTACAACTGCTCTCACTCATTTCAGTCAAAAGAACAAATATTTTTTGTACTCAGATTTTTTTTGCTTGGTTCATGTTAAATTTTATTTGTCTCATTTATGATGCTTATCATTTTATATTTTCTCAGATTTACTCAAGTGTTTTTTCTCAGCATTTTCATACTATGCTCGCATTAACTTTCACAAATTAATATTCTTGTGAATGTAAAAAAAAAGTATTTAACAGGCAACAAGAGGATAGCGAAGATGAGATAGAATATGACGAAGATGGAAATCCTATTGCTCCAAAGAAACCAAAGTATATAGATCCACTGCCACCTATTGACCACAGCACCATCGAGTATTCAGAATTTACGAAAAACTTCTATCAAGAGCATGAGGATATTGCTGCTCTTTCACCCTCTCAGGTTCATGAGCTGAGAAACAAGCTAGGGATTAAGGTATGCAATTGCCAGGTGTTAAATGTTTATTGTGACTTTTTTTTTTCTTTAAGAAACACTTACACCAATATTGCTGGAACAATTTATGTCTATGGTATTCATAAATTGGAAATTGAAACAGAATGATGCTTCTGTCCTTCCTGGATGTGTGACATGTTTGGCTCAGCTTCCGAAGCAGGGCCTGTCGTTAGTAAATCATCTCACGGTTTTAAGCAAAAAATCCCAGTTTTATTCACCAGTCTAGGGATTTGGTAAAACAAATGTAAAATGTACTTAGCTTTATTGCAAAAAAAGACTTTTCTTTCAACAAATATTGTGTATTTACAGTATGCATGAGAAACAACAGTCACAATATATAACACAAAGTAATATTTTACCTGATTACAGTATTAATGCATATGCATTAATACTGTATATATTAATACTTATGCTGGGCATATGCTCACCATAAATTGATAAACTCACAAGTGATAACTAGTCTTAGTCTAAACCCAACTAATCATCTAAAGGTATATCATATAAACTCTTAAAACCTGCTAAGTATCAAGGTATGCCTCACAAAATCATAATGACACAATTGCAAACAAACCATACTATGGGTGGGGCTTGAACTCGTGGTCAGAGAGCCATAAAACTCCAGACTGACATGTTAGCCACTGGGCCAGCTGGCTACAATAAGATTCATCTAACTAGGTATATTCTTCTTTCTTTCAACACACCGGCCGTATCCCACCGAGGCGGGGTGGCCCAAAAGGAAAAACGAAAGTTTCTCCTTTTACATTTAGTAATATATACAGGAGAAGAGGTTACTAGCCCCTTGCTCCCGGCATTTTAGTTGCCTCTTACAACACGCATGGCTTACGGAGGAAGAATTCTGTTCCACTTCCCCATGGAGATAAGAGGAAATAAACAAGAATAAGAACTAGAAAGAAAATAGAAGAAAACCCAGAGGGGTGTGTATATATGTGCTTGTACATGTATGTGTAGTGTGACCTAAGTGTAAGTAGAAGTAGCAAGACGTACCTGAAATCTTGCATGTTCATGAGACAGAAAAAAGGACACCAGCAATCCTACCATCATGTAAAACAATTACAGGCTTTCGTTTTACACTCACTTGGCAGGACGGTAGTACCTCCCTGGGCGGTTGCTGTCTACCAACCTACTACCTATAAACTAGGTATATATATACACCATAGGAAGGTTAGCACAGGCACAGTGGTTCTTATGCTAACCTTCCTATGATGCATAAATATACCTAGATGGATGAATCTTATTGTAGCCAGCTGGCCCAGTGGCTAATGCGTCAGTCTGGAGTTTTACGACTCTGACTGCGGGTTCAAGCCCCGCCCGTGGTATAGTTTCTCAGGTATGCAACTGACATGCCCACTGCATATGTATGGAGGTCCAAGATACTATTGCAGTGACTAAATTACACAAAATACACTGTGCAGACACCAACATGGCAGTCAGAGACAAAGTATATTCATATTTGGAAAAGGCCGAGTTCACAAAGCTGATCAAATGTTAAGTCCGCACACTTTGAAGTATGCAGAAGCAACCTCAGAGACAGAGTTCACACAAGGCAATGTATAGGCAAAGTGTTTGTGTGTGTGTTGCCACTGTAACTAAAATGAGATTCTAGACCAGACCATACTGCTTAAACCTAATTTAACATACATGACCGTACAGACCAAATAGGCTCTTTCCACACAATGAACATAAGTTACAGACACATGACAGTGCCAAAAAATAACATTGTGTAAAAAGATGTTTGTGTGTAAGGCTGTTAACAGTTATTGGCAAAATGGCAAATGAGCTCTTGAGTGAGTGTATGTGGCACCAGACAAGCCTAGCTCTGGAAGTAGGAAAAACTCATTACTCATCAAAGGTTATCAAAGGGGTAGGGTACTACAAGAGTTGAGCCCCACACACACTTATTAAGTAGATAGTGTAAGCTGGCACCAGCTCCATCCTCTGGCACACACAATGCTACAAACTGATATCAGACACTGTACAATGCTTAAAAATGATAAATACAGAGACAATAATATGGCTTACTACAATAGAGGGCCTAGACATTCCCTGCTGACAGACAGTGATGAGTAACATTTGTCACAATAACACAATCTAACACTAAACAAACACCAAATAATGTACTACTATATGTTGTACCAGACTATAAATAAAGTTGCAGTTTATTGAGGACTTGATAAAGATCCATGATGGTCCACCATCACTACCATCCTCTACCACCATCTTTACCACCCTCTACCACCATCACTACCACCCTCTACCACCATCACAACCACAACCACCCTCTACCACCATCACTACCACTACCACACTCTACCACCCTCTACCACCATCACATTGAGGACTTGATAAAGATCCTTGACAGACCAAAAAATTGTCTATTTTCCATTGTCAATTTATGGATATGGATTAGTTATAAATATGTTTTCTTGTTTGTTGGAAGTGTTAGCAATGAGAATTGAAGTATTAATTTTTTTTTAAATTTTAAATACAGTACATATTCACCAAATAAATTGTCAACATTTTTTATATAGGTGCATTATAGGGTTTAGTAGCAAATTCATATTTGTAGATAGTAGTTATCAGTTATTTGTTCTCTTAGGTAATATATATTGCATATCATTTACCATTGTAGGTAGTAGGTTGGTAGACAGCAGCCGCCCAGGGAGGTACTTCCGTCCTGCCAAGTGAGTGTAAAACGAAAGCCTGTAATTGTTTTACATGATGGTAGGATTGCTTGTGTCCATTTTTCTGTCTCACAAACACGCAAGATTTCAGGTACGTCTTGCTACTTCTACTTACACTTAGGTCACACTACACATACATGTACAAGCATATACTATATACACACCCCACTGGGTTTTCTTCTATTTTCTTACTAGTTCTTGTTCTTGTTTATTTCCTCTTACCTCCATGGGGAAGTGGAACAGAATTCTTCCTCCGTAAGCCATGCATGTTGTAAGAGGCAACTAAAATGCCAGGAGCAAGGGGCTAGTAACCCCTTCTCCTGTATATATTACTAAATGTAAGAGGAGAAACTTCCGTTTTTCCTTTTGGGCCACCCTGCCTCGGTGGGATACGGCCGGTGTGTTAAAAAAAAAAAAATTACCATTGTAGGTAGTAGGTTGGTAGACAGCAGCTGCCCAGGGAGGTACTACCATCCTGCCAAGTGAGTGTAAAACAGAAGCCTGTAATTGTTTTACATGATGGTAGGATTGCTGGTGTCTTTTTTTTCTGTCTAATAAACATGCAAGATTTCAGGTACGTCTTGCTACTTCTACTTACACTTAGGTCACACTACACATACATGTACAAACGTATATATATATACACCCCTCTGGGTTTTCTTCTATTTTCTTTCTAGTTCTTGTTCTTGTTTATTTCCTCTTATCTCCATGGGAAAACGGAACAGAATTCTTCCTCCGTAAGCCATGTGTGTTGTAAGAGGCGACTAAAATGCCGGGTGCAAGGGCCTAGTAACCCCTTCTCCTGTATAAATTACTAAATTTAAAAAGAGAAACTTTCGTTTTTCTTTTTGGGCCACCCTGCCTTGGTGGGATACGGCCAGTTTGTTGAAAAAAAAAATATATTCATAGTTTTTTATTAATAATAATTCATTAAAGTTTTTATTAAAATAATGTAAAATGTATTTATCATTAAGTGATTATGAAAAAGGTTTTTTGTAGCTACATGATGATTTGTGAAATTATGTAATGTATGATGTGCAGAAATAGATCTAGTAATACTATGAATTACTGTTAAAAATAAAATGTTATTAATGTTAAAAGTAAGAGTAAATTGTTTGGTTGAGTATAGATGCATAATACTGTACTATCATAGGGAGAATGATATCTTTGAGCAGAGGAGCAATAAAATGTTTATGGAATATATGCAGACAGTTATCAGTTTTGTAAATAATCATTTACTCTATTGTATACAGGTTACAGGTTTTGATGCCCCTAAGCCAGTTACCAGTTTTGGTCACTTTGGCTTTGATGAAGCCCTGATGAAAGCCATTCGTAAATCCGATTACACTCAACCTACTCCTATTCAGTCCCAGTCAGTTCCAATTGCATTAAGTGGAAGAGATGCTATTGGCATTGCAAAAACTGGCAGTGGTAAGACTGCAGCCTTTATTTGGCCAATGCTGGTACATATTATGGATCAGAGAGAGTTAGCACCAGAAGAAGGGCCAATTGGTCTAATTTTGGCACCCACCCGCGAGCTGGCACAGCAGATTTATACTGAGGCCCGAAGATTTGGCAAAGTTTATAACATCCAGGTAAGTTACATAAAATAAATTTCTCATTTTAATATATTGGAGGTGCTTACAGCCTTGACAAATTAGTATGTACCACCTGCATGTGTAAAAGCATTGATAACTTTAATATTTGGGGGAATTTGTCATATATACTCAGATGTTACATGTAATCTTCATTTCATATTCAGTGTGTTTTCATGGGAAATGCATTTTTTTTTTAAACAAACTGGCTGTATCCCACCGGGGCAGGGTGACCTAAAAAGAAAAACAACAGTTTTTCTTTTTAAATTTAATTATATGCAGGTATTATTATTATTATTATTACAAAATTAAAGATAATTCTGCTTACTCATCTTACCATAGAAATTGATATATCCATAAATTTGAATCTACCCAAGGACCTATGAAACCAGGGCCTAGAGCCTGTAATATGGCATCGAGTACAATAAAATGATAAGATGGATGAGGGATAACATAGTGTGTGGTAATATAGTAGACAGAACTGCCCAGAGAGGTACTACCATACTGCCAAGTGAGTGTAAAACGGAGGCCTGTATTTGTTTTACATGATGGTAGGATTGCTGGTGTCTTTGCTCTGTCTCATAAACACGCAAGATATCAGGTACGTTTTGCTACACATTTATGTATACACGCTCATCTGAGTTTTCTGTGATTTTATCTTAATAGTTCTTGTTCTTATTACTTTTAATTTCATATCCATGGGGAAGTGGAATAAGAATCTTTCCTCCGTAAGCCATGCGTGTTGTAAAAGTCACTTAAAATGCTGGGAGCAATGGGCTAGTAACAACTTTTCCTGTACGTATACCCTACTAAAAAGAAAAAGAAGAAAAACGTCAAAGTGGGATGTTTGAATGTGTGTGGATGTAGTGCATTGATAAGAAAGAGATGATTGTGGATGTTATGAATGAAAAGAAGCTGGATGTCCTGGCTTTAAGTGAAACAAAGCTGAAGGGGAAAGGGGAGTTTCAATCGGGAGAAATAAATGGGATTAGGTCAGGGGGTTCTAATAGAGTTAGAGCTAAGGAAGGAGTAGCAATACTGTTGAAGGATAAGTTATGGCAGGAAAAGAAGGAATGTAAATGTATAAATTCAAGGATTATATGGAGTAAAATAAGGGTTGGATGTGAAAAGTGGGTTATAGTAAGTGTTTATGCACCTGGAGAAGAGAAGAATGTAAAGGAGAGAGAGAGATTTTGGGAAATGTTTAGTGAGTGCATGGGGAGTTTTGAACCAGGTGAGAGAGTACTTGTGGTTGGGGACCTCAATGCTAAGTGGGTAAAAATATTGTAGAGGGAGTAGTAGGTAAATTTTGGGTTCCAGGGATAAATGACAATGGAGAGCCTTTAATTGAACTATGTGTAGAAAGAGGTTTTGTAATAAGTAATACATATTTTATAAAAAGGAGGATAAATAGGTATACAAGATATGATATAGCATGCAATGAAAGTAGTTTATTAGATTATGTATTGGTGAATAAAAGGTTGGTGGGTAGGCTTCAGGATGTACATATTTATAGGGGGGGGCAACAGATATATCAGATCATTATCTAGTTGTAGCTGCAGTTAGAGTAACAGGTAGATGAGATACACAAATAACCCGCACATAAAAGAGAGAAGCTTACGACGACGTTTCGGTCCGACTTGGACCATTGACAAAGTCACAGTGTGACTTTGTCAATGGTCCAAGTCGGGCCGAAACGTCGTCGTAAGCTTCTCTCTTTTATGTGCAGGTTATTTGTGTATCATTTCAGTCACGGTATTGTGCCTTTTTTGTTATTTAGGTAGATGAGACAAAAGGAAAATAGCTCAGTAAGAGAGAGCTGAAAGTTTATAAACTAAGGGAGGAGGAAGTTAGGGTGAGATATAAACAGCTATTGGCAGAAAGGTGGGCTAGTGCAAGTATGGGTATTGGGGGGATTGAAGAGGGATGGGATAGTTTTAAAAAATGCAGTATTAGAAAGTGGGGCAAAAGTTTGTGGCTATAGGAGGGTGGGTGCAGGAGGAAAGAGGAGTGATTTGTGGAATGATAAGGTAAAGGGTGCAATACAAGAGAAGAAGGTAGCCTATGAGAGGTTTTTACAAAGCAGAAGTGATATAAGAAGGGCAGAGTATATGGAGAGTAAAAGAAAGGTGAGGAGAGTGGTGAGAGAGTGCAAAAAGAGAGCAAATGATAAAGTGGGAGAGGCACTGTCAAGAAATTTTGCTGAGAATAAGCAAACAAATTTTGGAGTGAGATAAACACATTAAGAAAGGCTAGGGAATGGATAGATTTGTGAGTTAAAAGCAAAGTAATGAAATTAGTAGATGGGGAGCTGGAGGTATTGGATAGAAGGTGGGAATATGTTGAGGAACTTTTAAATGTCGATGAAGAAAGGGAGGCAGTAATTTCATGCACTGGCCAGGGAGGTATAACATCTTTTAGGAGTGAAGAAGAGCAGGATATGAGTGTGGGGGAGGTGCGTGAGGCATTACATAGGATGAAAAGGGGTAAAGCAGCTGGAACTGACGGGATCATGACAGAAATGTTAAAAGCAGGGGAAGATATAGTGTTGGAGTGGTTGGTATTTTTGTTTAATAAATGTATGAAAGAGGGGAAGGTACCTAGAAATTGGCAGAGAGATTGTATAATACCTTTATATAAAGGGAAGGGGGAAAAAAGAGATTGTAAAAATTATAGGTCAATAAGTTTACTGAGGGTGTGTAAAGGTAGAAACTTGAAGAACATAGATAATAGTAAGGTGATGAGGGTATCAAATGATTTAGATAAACAAAAATTGGATATCACATTGTAGAGAAAGTGTATGGAAGAAGTGAATGTTTTCAGATATTTGGGAGTTGATGTGTCAGCAGATGGGTTTATGAAGGATGAGTTTAACCATAGAATTGATGAGGGAAAAAAGGTGAGTGGTGCATTGAGGTATATGTGGAGACAAAAAACGTTATCAATGGAGGCAAAGAAGGGAATGTATGAAAGTATAGTGGTAACAACACTCTCATATGGGTGTGAAGCTTGGGTTGTAAATACTGCAGTGAGGAGGCAGTGGAGATGTCCTGTCTAAGGGCAATGTGTGGTGTAAATATTATGCAGAGAATTCAAAGTGTGGAAATTAGGAGAAGGTGCAGAGTTAATAAAAGTATTAGTCATAGGGCTGAAGAGGGGTTGTTGAGGTGGTTTGCTAGAATGACATGGAGAGCATATAAATCTGTAGGTTACGGAAGGCGGCGTAGGGGTTGTCCTTGAAAAGGTTGGATTGAGGGGGTAAAGGAGGTTTTGTGGGCGAGGGGCTTGGACTTCCAGCAAGCGTGCATGAGCATGTTAGATAGGAGTGAATGAAGACGAATGGTTTTTGGGTCCTGATGAGCTGTTGGAGTGTGAGCAGGATATTATTTAGTGAGGGTATTCAGGGAAAAAACAATGATTATGTGAGAGTGAGGTGAAAGTGTTGAATGATAATGAAAGTATTTTCTTTTTGGGGATTTTTTTTCTTTTTGGGTCATCCTGCCTCAGTGGGAGATGGCCGAGTTGCTAAAAAAAAAAAAAATTCAGGGAAACCGGTTACTTTTATATAGCCGGACTTGAGTTCTGGAAATGGGAAGTACAATGCCTGCACTTTAAAGGAGGGGTCTGGGATATTGGCAGTTTGGAGGGATGTGTAATAAGACGGTATATATATATATAATATATATATATATATATATAAGGTAGCTTATGAGAGGTTTTTACAAAGCAGAAGTGTTATAAGAAGAGCAGAGTATATGGAGAGTAAAAGAAAGGTAAAGAGAGTGGTGAGAGAGTGCAAAAGGAGAGCAGATGATAGAGTGGGAGAGGCACTGTCAAGAAATTTTAATGAAAATAAGAAAAAATTTTGGAGTGAGTTAAACAAGTTAAGAAAGCCTAGGGAAAGTATGGATTTGTCAGTTAAAAACAGAGTAGGGAGTTAGTAGATGGGGAGATGGAGGTATTAGGTAGATGGTGAGAATATTTTGAGGAACTTTTAAATGTTAAGGAAGAAACAGAGGCAGTAATTTCATGCACTGGTTCAGGGAGGTATACCATCTTTTAGGAGTGAAGAAGAGCAGAATGTAAGTGTGGGGGAGGTATGTGAGGCATTACGTAAAATGAAAGGGGGTAAAGCAGCTGGAACTGATGGGATCATGACAGAAATGTTAAAAGCAGGGGGGATATAGTGTTGGAGTGGTTGGTACTTTTGTTTAATAAATGTACGAAAGAGGGGAAGGTACCTAGGGATTGGCGGAGAGCATGTATAGTCCCTTTATATAAAGGGAAAGGGACAAAAGAGACTGTAAAAATTATAGAGGAATAAGTTTACTGAGTATACCAGGAAAAGTGTATGGTAGGGTTATAATTGAAAGAATTAGAGGTAAGACAGAATGTAGGATTGCGGATGAGCAAGGAGGTTTCAGAGTGGGTATGGGATGTGTAGATCAAGTGTTTACATTGAAGCATATATGTGAACAGTATTTAGATAAAGGTAGGAAGTTTTTATTGCATTTATGGATTTAGAAAAGGCATATGATAGAGTGGATAGAGGAGCAATGTGGCAGATGTTGCAAGTATATGGAATAGGTGGTAAGTTATTAAATGCTGTAAAGAGTTTTTATGAGGATAGTGAGGCTCAGGTTAGGGTGTGTAGAAGAGAGGGAGACTACTTCCCGGTAAAAGTAGGTCTTAGACAGGGATGTGTAATGTCACCATGGTTGTTCAATATATTTATAGATGGGGTTGTAAAGGAAGTAAATGCTAGGGTGTTCGGGAGAGGGTGGGATTAATTTTTGGGAATCAAATACAAAATGGGAATTGACACAGTTACTTTTTGCTGATGATACTGTGCTTATGGAGATTCTAAAGAAAAATTGCAAAGGTTAGTGGATGAGTTTCGGGAATGTGTGTAAAGGTAGAAAGTTGAAAGTGAACATAGAAAAGAGTAAGGTGATGAGGGTGTCAAATGATTTAGATAAAGAAAAATTGGATATCAAATT